CCATAAATTTTTATAGCTGTATGGATATATCTAAGCAATTCGTGTGTGTGTGCAAGCTGTCCCCCCTGACTAAGACATAATGTAAAACAATGCCAATTAAAGGGTGATTTGTTCTGAGGACCAGCATTTGAGAAGTAAAATAGTAAAATATTTCTTAGGTAATTGGACAAGGGTTGAAACTGTGGACACAAAGGGAATTTCCACGGGGAGTAAATTTCTTTCGAGAGATGTCAAATTTGGTAGGTCAGCCAAAGCTAAACAATAGGATTTTTTCACATCGGAAAATACAGTAAAATGCAATTTCTGTCAATAAAAATAAACTGCTGAGTTTTACAATGATAACAAACTGTATGAGCAGAAGTCCCAGGCAGTCTTCACGTGGTCTCCACCAGCCACCCAGGTTACTGCTGCTAACGGTACCTGTGCCAGCGCTGTCCCTCTGGGGCCGGCACGTGGTTGCTTTGATTTTTATGGCTCCAACGGCAGAAGGGGGAAAGTTTGCAGATTCCTATCCCATGAGTAAGACTGCCAGGAAATTGCCAAGGAAAATGGCTGTCTGTCTCAGTACTAACTTTATTTAGAAGATGTGGCATTGCAAGGCCAGTACAGCGCCCTGCAGATACCCACGGTGCCTCTGATCTCCTGTTCCCTTAGACATATCCAATGCTGCTCCCACGATACTAAGGAGCATGCATATCATTGCATGCAGTGTGTTGTTTATAGTAAGTTAATATAGATTTGGGGAAGAATTTTAAGTTTTTGCATTTCAGACTTGAAACTCAATGTATTAAAATATTGGCGCAGCAGTTTGATTAGGAGCCTTTATGTAGGGAGCAGGACACAATGCAATCAGCGCATATAAATCGAGGGCACGGTCTGGTGCTTTCTGGCTTGCAGAAATGCTTGAGACAAGATTATAAGCATGTTGCACTAACCATAAGTTCACAGTTGGATGCTTATTCAATAAAGTAGTTCTGTTTAGCTGCAGCAATTACATTAGCACAGAAAATACTACCACATTGCTCACACACCTTGCAGTGCTCTCCTTCCCCTTCCCAACATCACGACTGACCTTTGCTGCAGCCCTGCGCAATTATTTATGTTTTAGAACAACTCCTGACACTATGTCTAAGATTTCTGTACAAGCCACATCCTCCAAGTGCGACCCCCTGTACCAGCTGTGGAAGACAAACCCAGCCTTTTAAGAGCAGTCATTTCTACGGCAGCTGCTACTAACAGACACGGACGCTTCCTCTGTATTGCAAGTTTCCTTCAGAAGGCCCCACTTCACGGGTGAGCCATTTATAGCATTCATAAAAATACTCAGGAATGTACAGGAGATGCTCTCTAAAAACACAAACAAACTAATACCTTTACCTAAGAATAAACAAAACCATGTCTGCTAGAGACACGATGATTATTTTCGTCTTCTGTGAGGTGATGGCTTACATGAATCCAGACTTTTGTGTATATCTTATCTTGTGGGGACACAGAGCTCACGCGTAGCAGGGAATTTTATGCCTCTGTGAACAGTCTCTTCCTAAGTAGATTTATAGTTTCTAGATGTGTACAGATTAAATCTACATTCAGATTACAAATGCAGGATTTCAACAGCTGCCCAGTTTCCTGCCGTAACGTAACAAGTGCTCAGGTGGAGGAGAAAGTCTTCCACTGTGACTCAGCTTTGGTAAAGAGAAAACAAGCAATCCAGCCCCAAATCCACGTACTGGGATGCAGGTGGGTGCTGTGTCTGGCCAAGAGGCAGGAGAGTGCCCGGACAGGGGCCGCTCTCACAGGGACACTGCTGCTGGCAGCAATGCAACTGCCTCCCTTCTGGCCATTTGTCAGTGCAAATGGTAGAACAAACCCACCTCAGCGCCAGGTGTTAATGACAACTCACTCCCATCACGGTGGCCTTGCAAATTTGTTTGTAGGAACATGTCTTTTGTCTTGAATTAAAATTGCGGTAATTTAAAAGCAAGATCTGCTTAATTATAAAAAAGGCCACCCCATTCCTCACTGGTAGATTGAACCTTTTGCCCTGTGCCCGTACCATATTGTGTTTACTGCAGAAACTGTTTAATGAATCAGCAAGTCCAGGCTTTACTTACAGTAAAGACTACATTCTTCTTAAGTGCCAAAACTTCTGGGAAAAGCCAACAACGGCAGCACTAAGCATCTGATAAATTAGGCCCATAGATGGCAGGATGGGACTGTCCAACAAACGCTCATCACGCCAGTGCTCTGGGGGGATCCTCTACATCATAAGCTTAGCCACAGGACAGGCAGGAATAGTTTCAAAAAACAACACATTTGGATGATATGAAGGACTTGGCCATGAATAATTAGCAAATTGCCATTCATTATTAATTTATTAGAATCACGACTGCTCTGTATTTTTCCCACAAGGCTCAGTCTTTGCATTTTACAGCTGCTGGATTTATTATTAATAGCTAGATCTTAGACGTGACCACCAAGCCTTCAGCCAGGGCAGTGGCAATGTTGGCTCCGTTGGTGGGACGTGGGATGCCCCAGCCCCGCAGGCTGGGCTCCTGGCACTCTGTGGTGTGCCTCCTGCCCCGTGCACCCTGCTGGCACCATGGGTCCTCTGCTCAGCCCAGGGTCCGCAGCTGCACACAGCCAGCTGTTACCTGACATCCCCGTGGGACTTCAGTTAGCTCAAGGTTGCTTTCATGGATCACTGAAACCCAGCCCCTCCTGGTAGTAGAAGAAATAACCCTTTTCCTGGGATCCTTGAGCTGTGTGTCTGCACAGGATGCAGACCCTGAGAGCAGAGACCACGCTTAGTCCTGCCCCTGAGAGGTGCTCCCAGCTGTGCGCAGCAAAGGTCCCGATTATGTGTAGTGTGGGAATGTACAAAGAAGGAAAATACAGATTCTCTGCTATACAAAATTTCCTTAAAATACACGAAGAGCAGAGAGAAGCAGCCAATTAGCAGCCCCTCCAAGACACTGGACATCGTGCCAGCACCGAACGCAGAGCTGTATGGTCCTGACACAGCCGCCCCGTCCCCGAGCTCCCACTGCAGGGTGCAGGGCAGCCACACCTCGCTCTGTGCCGTGCCAACGCAGCTAACACTTCAAAATTACTCTAAAATAAGGCACCCATCTCTAATTTTTAACATTTGTCAAGTAATGTGATGATCAGATTATGCTTAACACCGTATTTGACTATCAACCAACCAGTAACTGCTGATGCTTCCCCCGCGCATACCTGAACCAGCGCATATGTTCCACTCTGGCATTGCCAACAAAATAAAATGCAAGCACTATTTTACAAGAGAAAATTCCCTCTGAAGTATTAAGGAATCCATATTTAATATGTTGCTACTCTGTTAGTTTTTTTTCTTTTTATTAAAAAAAAAAAGAAAAAAAAACACAAAAACAAATAAACAAACAAACAAACAAAAAACCTCTTTCTAGATGATACTAATGCAAACTGTGAGGAAGGAGAAATGCTCAACCCCATGTAAATTGATCTTAATTCCCAACTGAAATCTAGATCACCACCTTTTGGCAACCTCTCCTTGTTTTGATTAGAATCAGAAGATCACAGTATAAAATAAGTCATTTCATCTCAGGCTTTCAGACAAACCTTGGAGCTAACACCAACCCCATATTTCATTCAGGGAGATCAGGATCAGATCCAGAATTCAGCATTTGCTCTAACACTGTTCTGCTTCACATAGCCCGTCTCTTTCATAATGGAGAACATGTATTTTTGTTATTTGTAACAATGAACTTGGAACTAATCTGACATTTTCAACCTCTGCACCTCAAAGTGCTTTTTAACAGTTGGCACGCGGAACTTATTATCCCGACAATATAAAGCTGATAAGATCCCAGCAGCAACTAAGAGACAGACTCAGCTCTGCTCTGTTCAAAATTAAACCAAACCTTAATGTTACCTTCTCTGAATTGCAAATGCACCAAATACTATCCGCTTCTAGGATAATATTCCTTTGTTTTCACTTTTTGCATTTTCTCTTTAAAAGATGCGCTATGTTGTTTTCACTTTGTTAATGATTTCTCAAATACTAAATAGAACGGAAGGAAAGCCTTCGTGCTATTTTCTGCTTATTACACTTCTGCAGTAATTTCAAATACGTATCACAATATGTACCACAGAGTAACTATATAAGAAGGAAACTTCATAGTTAGAAGGTAATAACCCTAGGATTTAAGGAACTGAAAATCTGCACTCCAATTTTCACTCAGTAAGGAGTATCTTTATGTAGGGAAGAGTACGTCTGCCTTTCAGTGCTAGCACTATTGAAACAGAACAGATTATCACTGAAGTTCAACTATGAACATCTTTGGATGCCACTAGCAGATGGCTAGATAGTCAACAAATGTGAAATACTATGAAATCATGGTTAAAAATATCTTTCATGTAGGACATTTGAGACCCGTTTTATGTAAGCTTCATGTTAAAATATCTCAGCACTTTGCCTACGTCGGTGCTTATTGTTTCCAACAGAAGATTTAGCAGCACGTCCCCTCGGCTCACCCAAGCGCCCGCTCAGGAGGCCAAGGGCAGCCCGAGCCGTGGTGAGCCCCCGCCAGTGGGGCAGCCCAGCAGCACCCCTTAAAGCTCTCCAAAAGGGCTCTTAATGGTGCTTACAGTGCTCGGCCACCAAGTATCGCTGCTGTGAGCAGGAAGGTTTGAAGGTTTTGTCATGCTACTTGTGATGCTGTACCCTGACAGCAGGCTGGGTTTCCTTCTGTGTTTCTTTGTAGATTCATAATCTGTTGATGCCCCCGAAAGGTATCATCACTTTCCAAACAGAAACCCTTCCGCAGCACAGAATAAACAGCCAGGTGTACTATTTCCCACCGCTGAGGACTGCAATGGTATTTATACGCCTTGTGAAGCAAACCAGGGAAAACAAAAACACACTACTATTTTTTTTTTCTTTTGAATCCGTGTATGTGGAAACAAACAACCACGAACACTTGCCACATGTCCACGTTACTTACGGTTGAGAGGCAGGCTGGCATTTGTCGTCCCAAGCTTGTTGGCAGCAACACAGGTATAGTTGCCAAAATGCTCTTCTGTCACATTGGTAACAGTAAGAAGCGATCTTGTACTATAATTTTTAATAGTTATTCCTTGTTGACCATTGATCAGTCTAGAAGGCAAAAAAAAAAAAAAAAAAGTCTATAACTCATATACCATATATGAGTCTACCTCTATAACTCATATAATTTATCACAGGGGCTGATTTGGGAGGCTACTGGCAACGCTGGAGGTGCAGGGCAGTGAGAACAGCTCCTGCCAGCTTGTCCTGCAGTCTGAAGGAATGAGAGAAGGGCACCCCCTGCCCTGCCACCTGACAGCGTCACCTGGGGAGATGAGATTTTAAATTGGGCAAAACTGACTGAAACTTTAAATACTCTACGGAGGGCACAAATGGTAGGCAGTGGTCAAAGCCGACGTGCTGCCCATCCAGGGAGCTGGAGGAGGATGTGCTGGCACTGGAGTGCTCCCTCCTGGCCCTGTGGGTGTGCTCCTGAGGGCTGTGGGCAGTCAGTGGGGTGGCCAGCTCATGTGGGGCTCAGCGGGGCAGCAGGGAGGCTTTAGTAGGAGACGTGGTAAGTATGGGAAGCAGGGGAGAGCGAGTGCTATCCTAAAAGGAACTCTGCACCCACCTCTCAGTGCTATGGTAGATCTTTTAGTGAGTGTTTTTTCAGTCCCTGGTGATTGCTTGTGACGTTACGCACCTTTAACTGATGGCTGATGAGGATTAGGTAGCTAGAAAAGTGACTAATTAGGATTGTGACCACAATTTATTTTACAAGCTTCTATAGCAACAAATTATACCTGCAATTAGAAGGATGTGCTACGGCAACACTGCACCCTGAGACAGCAACCTGAACAGAAACCAGGCAACAAAACACAGGAAAACGCCAAAACACCTACTGTTTGCCTGGGCTCTGCTTCCCTGACTTTGAGCTTTCCATGGTCAAATCTCACACGCACTGTCCAGGTGAGTTAGTGTAGCTTCCAAACCAGGTCATAAATACCACTGCACTGGCACAAAGGGTGATGACCAATTTAAATTTTGTTGTTGTAGGCAGCTGGCTGTTGTCAGACAGCTAGTTGAGAAGGGTAACCACACGATTGAGATTCTAGCAATAGCTGATTACTCCTACTTCCTTGTATTTCCCATAAAGAGCAGAGGTCTGCATGACATATCCAACTTCTATTTGATACACTGGAATGTACAAATGTATATCCTGGAAACGAATGCGGTCTTCCATCATTCTGTCTAAAAATATTCTACCATGAGTTGCATTTCTGCATACCAAGCACTGAACGCTTTCGGCGTTACAAGGACACCTCTGCCCCCATGTACCCCACACCCCGCTGCAGGTCCTGCTCTGCCCCTCGCTGCTGCGGGGCCGGGCTGTGCAGCCCCCGGCAGAGGACAGAGCACGTCCTGGGGATGCACGTTGCTTTGTGGGGAGCGTAAAAGGCTGAGGCTGAGATGCTCAGCTTTGGGCGAGCACTGCCGCTGGGAGACCTGTCTTTTCTCCGGGCTGATGAAAGGCAGAGAAGTTTGTCCTTCCAACCTGCACGCATGCTACTGCATGCGGAGGTTCTCCTTGTTCCTGATGATGTTCTTCCCTCCTTTTCCCATCCCACTGAGAGAGGAAGCCCAGAGCTGCCAGCCCTCCCTGTGCAGGGAGGCAGCGGGGAGCCACAGGACTACGGGGCAGAGCAGTTGGCTCTAGTTAGGGTACACTCAGCAGCTTCAAAGACTTCTGTTTGCCCTTGTAAGAACCCGATGCTTTTACGTTTAAATTAATTACTGCCATGTGCTGCTCTACCTACTCTACTGCACGTGGAGTTTACTACTTGAGTGGGTTTCACCAAGCCACACTTCAGACTGCGACAGCGTGTTCACTTGTGTGCAGCCACCCTACACATTGCTTCACCTTCCTGCTTTGTACCACAAGCTGCACAGGGAAATGCAGTCTGATTTCAGAAACTATGCCTATGCGTGGAGAGAAGACCATGTGTCAGTACCAGCCCCGAGGGATATCTACCTTTCGCTTCATATTTGAATACCTTCATATTATTACAATATATTAAGCCATTATAATGAGTTTTGTTATTTCAAATGTAGGTCTTCTTTGCTTTATCAAGTATAAGAGAATTAATATTTTTAGATTAGTGACTTCTGGGCTTCTTCCCTGTGGCTGTTTAATTTCTGAGATGTAATTTCTGCGTGGCCCTGTAATATAACATACTTGAGCTATGAGTTTCAGATGCGAGGAGTCAGCACAGCAAAGCCTCCCCCCGCACAGGGAATCCCTGTGCAGGTTTAGAAGCCAAATGCTATTATGATTTTAAGAAGTTTTTACTAACTCTTCCCCAAACTTTCAGTCCCTTTTCGGTGTGATGCAATTGTGTGTTTTGGTTCCTAATGGGGAGTCAAAGTGCTCAGACCCAGTCACTGCGATGGCCCTTCCTCAGCTCCCTCCCCACGGTGCCACTGCTGGGAGCTGCTGGGCACCCCCGGCATCTCAGCCAGCACAGGCTCCTGCACGGAGCTCATGGCACCATTTCTGCAGATTAAAGTGACTGCAAGACCCCTCCTCGCCTTCCCCCAGCAACAGGACAGGAGAAGTGGCCAACCTGCACGTTCAGGTAAAAAGCAGCAGGAAAGCAGCACAGGTCCCAGGGCTACACGTTGAGGGCTTCGTGCTCCTCACCTTGGGCTGTGGAAGGACACGGCACAGCACGCTCATAGCCAACGCTTAAGGAAAATTAATGAGCAAGAACTGCTGTAAGCCTGGTGATGAGGTACAATTAGTCCTGCGAGCTCCTTGTAGGTGTAACTGGATGGAGTCAGTGACTGCTTTTATTTTTAGGTTTAATGACTGTTTTACGATGAGATGATCCCAGGAGCCTGGAAACTGTGGGTTTTGATTTACATCATCCTAAGTAACAACAATGCAATTTACAGACCCAAAAGGCTCCTTTCAGACACTGAACATATATTAGGATTCCAGATCTAACTCCCACTATTCATTTATTCAAAGATTCATCCTGATTTACAAAAAGAAAAAAGGGTTTCAGTCCAAGACTAACAGAAGAAAATGGGATTCTCTCTATTCTATTAGCCAAATACATAGCAGGGTGTGAACTCCCTGTACATAGTCTTGCAGTACACCAGCAAATTATCTGCAGGGTAATGTACATGCTACTCTCAGCTATCTATGAAAGCTAACTCTTCTCAGTTTTGTCTTATAACAATGAATGAGCTGTCCAAGGCTCGTTCTGTGCTGGCCTTCTGTCTTTGCAAGGTAAAGGGGAAATACTGGAGGCAAAACGTGTGTACACCTTCCTCTGTCCTGCAAGTGGTGGTTTGGAGGTTCCCAGTACCTTTGTAGTCATGTGTGTTTAGCATGTCTGTAAAAAGCAGTTTAGCAAAAAAAGATGTACCATTAGATTTAGCAGAATATTTGAGCGGTAAGACACAATAGGACAGTACATGTCTTGCTGATTACAGCAAGCCTCAGGTGATACAACAACTGAAATGGAAAACAGAAGGCACAGCTTCGGTGTCCTGAAATGCTCTGTTTATTCCTTCCTGCTGCTCTTGTGACACTGAATGCACTCATGAAGAAAGGAATTGGTGACTTTCATAAATAGGAAGGTGATTATCATGCTGGAAATGGTTAATTGAATCCAGAATGCTATGGTTTATACTAAAACCTGTGCTACAATAGTTAGTGCATAAAATATATGTTACATCTCCCCCCAGCATATGTACAATATAATACTCATCTTTAGAAACAGGATGTAGATTAATTTATCCAACAGAGGGAAAACCTCTGCTGTTATATACAGTAAAGGTCAATTATATTGTTTTTAAGAACGTTTTAATAAATGGTCAAAGGGCGATGGTTATGACTGCCGTGAGAAGTTGGGAAGGAAGAAGAGCAGTGTTCCTAAAGGGGAGCAGCTGGCCTCTGAGCAATGAGCTGACAGATGGTTTCCTATGAAATATGGTCATTAATATTCTCATGTCAGCTCCCAGGTTTAATGGGATCTTAGAGCTGATGAGAAACCCAGCACTCAGAAGCCGGGAAATTCCAGAACCCAGAAGATGTGTGTGGACAGCTGCCTGTTAGGGAGAACAGCCACTGTCACCTGCACCAATACTCAACCTTAAGAGAAACAATACCTTAGGTAAGGTAAGAGTTGTAAAACAAAATCTGTTCAAAAAAAAAAAGATCCTACAGAGATGCCAGTTATCATCACATAGCATTAGGGACATGAAAGCAAAGCTAGCTGTGAACAACACCAAAGCACACGATGAAGTTTTAGGGTTCGGACTGGCAGTGTGCCCCTGGCCGCCTGCAGATGCTGGGAGGTGCAGCAGCTCTGCTCAAGCCAGTGGACTGAAAACTCATGGCCCACACTGCCAACGGTGCAACTGGGTGAAGAACTGTAGCCATGAAGATTTGGCTGAAAGTCTTGCTAATCAGCCCGCCTTCTCACCCCCGAAGCTCTCAGTAGGAAAGCTATGATGGCTTTTTTTTTTTTTTTCTTTTTAAAAAAGCCTTCTATAAAAAAAATACCTCTTTTTAGTAGGCTTTTTCAGCAGGCATTTTCAGTGCCTTTCTGGTTACTATACTTATAAGGCTGCAATTACTAAAGCATGTTTAAACCTTAGGCTCATTATGGCAATTATCACCATCACAGCCCAGCCACGGACAGTCCTATTATGCCTCATTTATGAGCACAAAAGCTAAGACTGCAAGAAAACGAAGAAACTCCCTCAGAAGGCACACAGCACAGCTGCTGGCAGCCAGCACCTCCGAAGCCGCACTGCTCAAGCCGTGCACAGCTCTGCAGCGAGGGGAGCGGTGTGAGGGCAGCAGCCTGTGCTGTGTTTTTTGGGGGGAAAGACCCCAGCACCTGCTGCCACCACGAGCTCTGCCCCTGCCTCAGCTCTCCTGCAGCCCGGTCCCTGCGGGGACACGCGAGTGGCACCAGTGGCCCCAGCAGCACCAAGCGAGGGCAGGCAGGGCTACTTACTTCCTCTCTCCTCTGTACCACTCAAAGACCGGGGCAGGAACGCCTGCACCTTCACACCGTATCAGTCCGTTCCCTCCGAGCATCACGCCGCTGGACTTAAGTTCCTGAATTGTGGGGGCAACTGAAAAAAAAATTGTAAAATAGACATTTGCACATAAATACAAAGACTGTTTAACTCCGCTTCTCTTCAGCACGCTTTGCGTTACTCAGCCTGGTGCGTGTTTTCCAGCTTGATTCACATTCAACCATGCTTTCCTCCAGCAGTGTAAAACTTATCCCACACAGCAGACTGACACAGATCTCTGTATCTGGTGTAAAAACAGAACTGAGACACGAAGAGTATTAATCCCATACCGAACAACCTGTTTGTTCACCTCAGTCACCCAGTGTGGTACAATGTCGTGTGGCTGTTGCTGTCTCGCAGGGTGCTTTCGGTTCCTGAGACCCCCCCGAGGGGCACGGTGCGGTGCCGCAGGGGCTGGGTCAGGGGAGGCGAGCAGTGTGCCCACCTGGGGTGCTGAGCCCCAAACCACGCCGTGCCTCGTGCCACCATCTGCATCAGGCCTTCCAAAACGCCCCCAGGCACGGGTGGCCTTTGGGATCTCTTGGTGCATAGTAAAAAGACAAACTTACCTTCACAAACATGACTCAGCCCAAATACCATATAGCAGGCATGACTTTCCCACTGTTACACTGGGCACGGATTTATTTCAGAAAATACATTTTGTCTTAAATAGCAAACATCATAAATCTGAACAAACATTTTAAACTTGGAATTACGGATACAAATAAAGGTAAAAGGCGATTGTTGACTTTTCCACTTGCCAGCGAAAGGCAACCATAAGCTGAAAACAGAAGACGGTGAATTCCTCAGGAAAGAGATTATCGAAGGTAAGGCTGAACAACAATTGCCTTCCCCCTGGAATTTCTTTTACACTCTCTGTTTTTAAACAACAATTTATGTGCATCATAAAATGCTATAAAATCTAAACCACAGAACTTATAAATAAAAATCTGTTGATTTTTTTTTTTTCCCAAGCAATTTTCCAGATGTTGCTTTAAGGTGTTTATGTACGTGTAAAACGCTGACTGCCTCGCATCTGTTCCTTCCCCACCTCATCCACAGTTCAGCACGCCACGCTAAGAGGCTATAATCTTTTATGGCAGGAGCTACGCCCAGGGAGCTCCGGATACACTCCTGAGCAGAGCAGCAGCCACGCAGCCTGCACGGGCTGCATCACACCTCCATGGCAGCACCGTGGCTGTGCCGGGCAGGAGGCAGGAGCTCGATGTCATGAAAGAGCCCACGAAGTGGGCATTCACCCACAGTGCTCCCCCCAGCACTCCCATCGCTGCACATGGGCACTCATTGACACAAACTGCCCTGAAGTGTAATTAAAGCTATCCCTGGAGCTGGTGGCACTGCTGGCACCGCAGTGACCGTGGGCCGGACGGGGTCCCATGCACTGTCCCCACAGCTGGAAATGCTGCACCTGGGTGAAAGTGTGGGGCAGGAAGGGAGCAGGGGGCCCAGCCCAGGCTGCCCTGCTGCTGGGGATGTGGGAGCAGCTTCCTCTGCCACGGGCAAGCACACCCTCACCCTTCTGCTTTCTCTTCCCAGTGATTACATGGAACAAACCCACACAAACGTCTGTGAATAAATATTCACTTTCAACTGGTAACATTAAAATTTCAAGTGGATAATCAGCATAACCAATTTGCATGACTACTTCTCCATAAAGCACACAGGAACAAATGAGATCTTTTTGTCAAAACTGTGACTCCATGAAAATAGCAAGTACTTATAAACCTGACTCCTTCCTGAGCAATGCTGCAGTTTGTGCAGCCGCGGCTTTTAAGACGTAACTTTGAGTGAGATGGAGCACATGAAGACACCGGTTACATTTGCTGCTGCTCCAGCAGCACTGAAGGACACCAGCAGCTGCCAAAAGCACCACAAAGTTCACAACTCAGCTCCTAATCCCGAAGTGTTCAAAGGAGTAATACGAAAATTGTTCAAGATAAACCATACAAAAGCAGCACCTGAGCAGCAGAAGAACACAGAAGCCACCTGCACAGGCACCTGGCAAGCAAAGGCTGCCGAAAGCTGGGACCTGGTCCTGCTGCCTGCCTGGCTGCGTGGTGGCAGAGCCCCGGCTCTGAGCTGCCACTGGATTCCCCCCCAAGATAGGAAGAGTGCCACTGAGTTGCTCTTGGAACGAGGCTTTAACCTATTTAAAGACTTGTGCACTCTTACTCTCAGTCCTCATTTATCTAAACACACTGTCTAAAAGGAACTTGGTTCTTTCATCTCAGAGATCACACTCCCCCTAAAAACTCGCTTGTTGTTTTTTCTGGTGTCTGGAAACCCACACCCGAAACGAGACGCAGTGCAATCAGGGAGACGTTGCCAAGTGGAGCAGAGAGATAGCCCCACACAGTCTGCATGTGATGTTTTTATACACACAAGCCATGCTGATGTCCCGTGATGCTGCCTCACTGAGGTACTTCTTCCCCCATTGCCCCAGTTAGCCTGACTGCCCGTCTTACACCTGACGAGCCAGCATCCTGTGCATGGATGCCACCCCACGCTTCTCCTTTCCCCTTTATATTCACCACAGCTTTTCATTTTGTTGGGAACATCTCCAGATCCTGTCTGCTCCGAGGGGCAGTATCAGAGCTTTGGCGAGTCCATATGTCCCAGCATCCATCCCCACCCCTGGGCCAGGCCCCGCAGACACCTTTCATGTACTAAAAGTTTGGTTTAAGCTGTCTTTCAGTCACAATTTATTCAAATGTGCACCAGTCAGCAGCTGGACAGGATCCCGACAGCAAGCCCAGGCTCTCGTCTTGGTGTGGGCACCTGCAAAACCTCTCTTGCTTATGAGATCTCAACTTGGAACAAGAAATACCAAGGCATGTGTGTGATGGAGAGGCAATATTTGAGAGTCAGAGATGAAAGACACAGCAGGAGGGTGAGCAGCACCCAGCGAGGCGGCAGCACATGTCCCCGCTGCTGCTCCGCCAGCAGGTGCCCCAGGGCAGTGCTAGGCCCAGCTCCTGCCTGGTGCCCACAGCCTGGCACCACCTCGCCCACCAGCAGCGGGTGGCTGTGCCCAGCTGTGCTCGAGCATGACGATCCCTCCCCTGACATGGGGATGAGGTCCCACGTCCCACGGCTGCAGGGCATTGGCAGGCAGTGCCACAGGTCCTGTGTGGCATTGAGTCTTGGCGCCGTGGCCATGGGGCCTGTCCTGCGCAGGACAGCCCGGCCACCACGGCTCCGTGTGGTTTCGGCGTGCTCAGCAAACTGCCCTAAAGCAGGCATGGGTACTTTATCCAAACCCCCTGTAACAGCCCTGCACGGTGCCTCCTGGCAAAGCTTTCTCGTAGGTGAACGTTGTTCTGCGTTATGCCTGGGGAGTGGGAGTGCTTGCTCTTGTAACTCAGAGTGGGCAGGATTATTAGCAACAAAGCTGGAATTTGAAATAAATATACCACACTGCATGGACACTACATGGATAATACACAATTCTTATGAATTAGGCTAGAAGGGAAAATAGAAGGCCAGCAAAGAGCTGCGTAATACAGGAAGTTTTTTTCCAAAGTACCACTTTCAAACTTCTCAACGTGCCCTGCTCACCTTTTGCTTTTTTTTTTTGTGTGTGCGTGTGTTAATAAATGCAGACCATCTCTTGGCAATAAATTTAAAAATAAACTGATCCATAAAAACGTACAGTTAGGCGCTGCTCTTTATATCTGTATGACCGTGCAGTCAAAAGATCAATTCAATCTAGCCTTAACGATTTGGAGTAACTTTCCAGGCGCAGAGCAGAGCAGCTCAGAAGCCCCAGGCAGAGCTCAGCAGCACTTGAGGCAGACGCTGGGGTCTCGGACCTGCTGCAGCAGCAGCCTTGTCACCCACGCCATTGCCTGCCCTCCTGTCGCTCCCACCACGATGGCTTTGAGCCCCGTCCGGCAGGAGCCTGAGGTTTCCTCAGATCGCCTCTCAGAAGGAGCTCAGCTTCTGTTTGCTCAGAGTTCAGAAAAAAATACAAATAAAAATCAATATTCTTTGCTCTAGGAAATCCCTGGCTAACATTGATATTAAAACACAAACCAAAGACAGCTTAGAATCATCGTTCTCTCATATTTTTTGTTGTCAGGTTATTTTCTCCTTTATAGTGTAAGGACAAATTATGTGATTCAGGTACACTTCGAGTGCAGTGATCAGGGCACTGAGCCCAAACTCCTCAGAGCCTCCTGCTCCCATTGGTACGGGAGAGAGGGTAATTCAGATGAGATTATGCACCTGAAGACCTGCTGCTTCAGGCTGCCAAGGTTTGTTTTGGAGAGGAAAAACACATGGGAGGAGATTCTCAGGCTTCCAATTTCACATATTTTCTAAATATTTTCCATTCAGCCAGCAAAGGCTCATTTTGGAGAAGACATTTATGGTTTGATCTTGTCTTTGCTATCAGCCTTGCTGTAAGGCTCTCAGTTCACCCTCCTGGAGGCCAGCATGGCCCAGCCTCCCTCGGTGAGGTGCTGAGGCAGGTGTAGGCTTGAGCCGTGGCAGCTGCCACCACACGTGGACGTCTCCTTGGGTCCCAGCTCGTCCCACAGCAGCTCCACCAGCCTGCCCCTGGATGTCCCAGGCGGCAGCATGGCCTGCAGGGGGGCTCTTCCCAGCCCTCTGCACGCCGGGACAGCACCCGGCACTTCCCAGCCCCGAAGGTCCCTGCCACACCAACCCCTCACTAGCTCCTGTTATTTCCCTTTGCCTTGCCTGGCCTGGCCAGCCCGCGGCTGTGCCTTGGTCCTGCTGCTGCTCGGTGAATCGACAGGGTGCAGACTGCACATCCAGCACGCCGCCTTCATTCTGGAGTTTAATAGTGATGACAAACTGCCGCAGAAAATCATTTAGTGTCATTAAGGATTCAGTCCTGCTATATTCTGCTGACTGACTGAACGGACAGATGCTAGCACATGTCTTTAGTGGGCAATAGAAGGTAAGGAATAAATACAGGTGGGCAAAAGCTTAAGGACCTGACAAAAAGTTAATAAACAGGATGAGACGCTTTAACAGGCAGATTTAAAATAAACTAATTACAACTGGAA